ATGGATTCCCGAGTTGTATTAGAAATGGAGAAGTTGGATGTATCAGAATAGTTTCTTATTTGTAAAATTTTATTCTGAGGTTTTAGTTTCTGGATTATCATTTTAGTTTCTTTTTAGTAATTTTATTTATTCCTGTTTATCTTAATTGTATTCTGTGTTCATTTATTGCTGATTGTTTTGATATCCTCGAGTAATCGGGTGTGGGACTGGCCAACCCGCATCCGGAAATCCGGGGGTATCACACTACTGTTTGGCTGGGGATCATAATCCTCTTCATCCGCCTCAACATTTTAATCTTCATCAGCAAGGTCAGATGATTTAGAGGTACGAGTACGAGTACGAGTAGATGATTTAGGAGGGGGTGGGGAGGTGTACGACCCGCAAAAGAAGATTGATTACGCATATTTTGCATCATACATTGGAGAGTAGGAGAAGGAGGTAGATGAACGATATTATCCGTAATTTTTTTTCGTAGAGGTATTTTTTTTCGTATAGGACCTTTCTTTTGAGCTATCGACTTCTGCTGACCCATTTCTAAACTCGTCTTTACAGCGCAGCAAAGCACACTCTATTATGCACAAAAAATCTTTCCACCAATTGTTAGTCAAAATTTTTTTATCTACAAACAGATAAAACAAACACATAATTAATTACAAAAAATTGCTACAGGAAAATCATACCACCCAACAACAGATACAACACACCAATTACCATTACAAATTATATAAAACATTGCATTGCCTTACACGAATAAAATTTTCATAATTTTCAATTCATTTTCCCACAATTTAATAGTAACAAATAATCAATCAAAACTAATGAAACAAAATTTAATTGGATTCAATCAAATTATACTGTACTATTTATGACGCATAACTTTTTCAAAATTTCACAAATAACCTAACAAAAACTAATAAAATAGAATTTAATATAGTATATTCAATCAAATTAAACCTCTGAGTTTGGAAAGGGATGGACAGAATTTAATAGGATTCAATCAAATTATACTGTACTATTTATCACGAATAACTTTTTCAGAATTTCACAAATAATTAAACAAAACTAATAACACAGAATTTAATATAGTATATTCAAAGAAATTAAAACCTCTGCGTTTGGAAAGGGATGGACAGAACATTTCGAAAGAAAACCTAAGTCTGACAACTGTAACAACCGTGACCTTCTTCCAACTCCAATTCCAAAAACCTTCCGCAAACCTAACTCCGACAACTGTAACAACCGCGACCTTCTTCCAACTCCACTTTCGAAAACCTAAGTCCGACAACTGTAACAATAACAACCTCTTCTCGCAACCTTCTTCCAACTCCACTTCTGAAAACCTAAGTCCGACAACTGTAACAACCTCTTCTTGTGATCTTCTTCTAAGTCCTTCTCCTTCTTCCAATATTCGACTTCCCTTCCCTTCCCTTCCGACCTATTCAACGACCTAGAAAATGAAGGATATTTTGGGGGATTTGTGAATATGAAGGATATTTCAGTAAATTCCCCCAAATATTTAATATATACAAGTGTATATACACTATATAATATATATATACACTACAAATACACTGTGTAATAACTGAGGGTAACTTTTTCACACGAAATTTTTTTTAATTGACGTGGCTTTATCTAGGCCACACATCCAAACCGGTAGGAACAGGCACTAGAGATGATTTCCTTCCCATGCGATCTTACTTGTTCAAGCTAGTTAGTTATGCTAATAATGTTTATGGGGGCCAATATCTCAGGTCATCTCACTTAACCCAGCTAGTAATGCTAATAATGTTAGTGGAGAACAACCTTATTTACAAGGATAGTCGTATAATTGAAAAAAACAAGGATAGTTGTATAATTTAAAAAAAGAAAAATAATTATTCGCATTAGTTAGAATTATAAATGTCATTCTCTTTTAAATGAAAGTGTATGTGTAAAAAAAAAAACAAAATGCCTTATTATAAAAATAGTTCCCAACAACTCCGAATGTATAAAACTTTTTTCAGATAATTATAAAAAATTGTTTTATGAAGGAGTTTTTGAAAAATAATTTTCAGAAAATTGAACTAAGCAGAACATAATTTTTGTACAGTTTTTCTAAATTTCAATTATGTGAAAACATAAAACTATTTTCTAAATGACAAATTAAGCAAACCCTAAATATATGACTATCCTTCAGACCATTGATTCTGTAAAAACTTGTTGAATACTTTGTACTGTTGATACTTTGAACTATATATTCACTCTAATCTTATGTAATAGCTTAATTGTATTTGTTATACATCTTTTACAATGTATTTGAATAGATGTGAGAGCTTATATGGCCCAAGCAGGGGTGTTTAGGACAGGGATGTGCTGTGTGCACATGTTATGAGTTAGGTGTGTGTGTATCAACTTGCAACACAATTAGTGGATTTGCATTGGGTGCGTACCCAAGAACCAAGTTTTTGATCCCTATTGAGAAGGGTTTTCCTTGTAAAATCTTGATGTCCTTGTTGCTGTAGGTTAATGATATCTGTGGATAATCCAAACAAGCTGTGGTGATTAACATGTAAAGAAAAGTGTTTAAAACCTACAGAAGAAGTAAAAGAACCAATTCACCCCCTCCCCTCCTGGCTCATCATTTTTTTTCCATGACAAAAGAGATAATTTATTCAGTAAAGATAACTTTATTTTTGGATCAATCAAAAGAAATAATTTATTTAACGGAGATATATATATATATATATATATATATATATATTGGGTACTTATTTTATTTTTGAGTCCTGTCATAAGAAATAATATATTCACCAAAGATAACCCTTTTTTTTTTTTTTTTTTTTAACTTTTTGTCATTTAGTGGTACCGCGATTTTGAAAGGATTAAGGATCACCGAAGTGATGTCTAAACCTAATAACTTAAAACAAAGATAAAGGATCTCAGAACAAGAAAACACAGTGTGAATCATAATGAATTGTCTTAATAACTAGATTAGAATGAATAATTAAATTGTTTTTAAATGAGACAAACAAAAAGGGGGGTTTGAGACTACTCAATAAATGAAATAAATGCCTAAAGATTTTTCTTTGAACTATTTGGGGTTACAACTTCAGTTATGAATACAAATTTAAAAGAAATAATTTATTTAATGAAAATAACTTTTTTCTTTTTTCTTTTTCTTCTTCTTTTTTTAAGCTTTGGTCAAAAGAGAATTTATTTATAAATTTATTATTATTATTTTATTTATTTATTTATTTATTTTTTTTTTTTTTTTGAGGAGAATTTTGTTTTTGGGTCCTGTCAAAAGAAACCAAAAACATTAAATATTGAAGAAGAGGGGACCAAGATCTCATGTCATCTTTCGTAACCAAGCTAGTTATGCTAATATAATTTGGGGCTAAATATAATTTGTGGCCTTGGATGAAACAAATAAAGTGGTCTTTTATGTTAGTAATATTCTCATAAGATGTTTTATAATTTATAATTTTTTTTTTCAATCTCTAGTTTCACCATTAGGTAATTGAATATTATTTTGAATTAAATAACTTACGACAAAAAACAAACACTATATCCAAATCTTCTGAATACACTTGACATTTTCTGTGATCGTTTCTTTTCATTGGTAATTTTGGAACATAATATATAGTTGAAAAATGCCTAAAGTTTTCATCTTTTAGGATAATTAAATCATTAAATCTATTTTGGCTATTTTTTACTAATAAATCTCTTATTTATGGAACAATATTTTTTCATTATCCAAGGTCATAGATATTTTTGGGAATGGAATATAATTTTTTATTTCTTTTTCTTTTTCTTTCTTTTTTTGTTGTTGTTTTTCATAAAGAATTTTTTTATTCCATATTTAGTCACTAATATCTTTTTATTTCGTTAATGTATAATTACTCTTCTAATTCTTCTAAAAAACTTGGTTTTTCATTTATTGATTTTTCACATAATTTTTTTTTGTTGTGCTTTGATTATTAGTTGTAACTGCTTTGATTATTAGTTGTAACAAATTTATCAATAGCTCATTTTTTAGTTATAGTTAATTTATCTACTTTTTTCTTCTTTTTAAGTTTTTCATATTGGGATTCATACTCTTTACTAAACATATTCAACAATAATAATAAAAAATTTATTATAATTCACAAACAAAAGATAACAAAAATTAAAAAAACTATAAAATAATTTAAGTTATAGAACAATAGAATCTTATTTCTTAAATTTCGGTCTAAGGCTTCAACAAATTATTCAATAGAATAAAGTGTGCACAAAATTTTCCACGGAGTGAAATAGTGAGAAAATGTGTGAGGAATAAGAAAATAATAATAATAATAGTAATAATAATAATAATAAATGAAAAACAAAAGAAAAGATAAAAATAAATATGTACTAGGAGTCTTGAAAGAATATGAAAGGTTTCACCGATTCACATTATAACCAATTCACACTATAATATGGGTGTAATGATTTAACATATATATATATATATATATATATATATATATATATGTGAAATAAGAATATAAATCTTTTATATATATGTATATATATTTAAATAAAAATGTGAAATAAGAATATAAATCTTTTATATATATATATATATATATATATACATATATTTAAATAAAAATGTGAAATAACAATATAAATCTTTTAGGCCCACTATTAAATCTTTCAATTGGATAAAATCTAGGAAGGAAATAAATTTTTTAATAAGATTATAATATAAAAAGATTATAATATAAAAAAAAATAAAAAAATTCGAGAGTCTTTCTATTGGCTAGAGCCTTAGGTAACATCTAACTCGCTGAGGCTCTAGCCAGCCTACATCTTACTTGACCAAGCTAGCGAAGCTAATAATGTCCGTGGAGACCAATAATATTTACAAGGTTAGTTGTATAATTTGAAAAAAGAAAAATCATTAGTTAGAGTTATAAATGTCATTTTCTTTGGGCGAAAATTTATTACCGTCAAGCCATTAATATATTGTCAAATTGCCCTCCAACGAGCTGTTTCATTTTTTTGTCCTATGCATTTTCAGCCTACATATTTGAGAAGAGTTGCGGATCTAAAGCCCTAACTCTGCAATTGTGATTGCGAAAATGGAGGGAGCACAAAGTCAACCTCACCCTTACGTTCCGAGAGATCTGAATCTGCCCGATTACGTGCCTGTTGTCCTTTCCCAGTCAACCATTGTTGGAGTCTATGGCCTCTCTTCACTGCTTATTGTCTTCCTCGTCTGGCTACTTTCAGGTAAATTATATATGCCCTAGAAAATCAAAGAAATCATTCACTTCACTACTACTAGAACTTATTCTTTTTCGAATTTTTTTTTTCTTTCTCTGTTTCTATGAATTTCCATATTTTCTGGTTTTTGGTTGCATAAGAATTAGAGAACTATTAAAGTTGTATGGTGATATTTCGGAAAACCATTTTCTAGTCTTATTGTTGGGTGATATTGTTAGTTTCTTTTAAATTTAAAATTGGAAAAATTAGTGTTAGGTGATCAAATTTAAACAAAATTGATTTGCAGTGACATAGAATTAAGAAATTTATTAAAGTTAAATGCAAATAAGTGATCATTGATAATTTATTTCCATAAATGAGGGAATTTCTTTGTTGCTGTTCAAATAAAATGATATCTACTGTTCATGAGTCTTAACTAATGATATTTGAATTTTGTTTGAAGTTTTATCTTTATTAGGTTCTAAAAACACTTTGTTGGCCTGAAGCTGAAATTGGTTTTAATTTTTGTTCTAGACATTGTCTTAAATATATATTACAAACTTTGATAGGTTAGACAATTCTGTATGTTTGGTAAAATGTCTAAAAGAGACATGCTCTGCCATTGGCCTTTGAAACTAAAATATTCTGAATTTTGTTTCAGGTTTTTTACCTAGAGTTAGGTCAAAATTATTATTCAGTTAGGAAAAATAAATTATTATTAATGTGGGAAGTTTGTGCATATTTACCTAATTTACCTAGTCTACCGTCTGTGTTTGTTTGGTAGAGAATTAATCAGACACTTATTACAAAATGCGAGAAAATTTTGAGAGAGTTAAGAGAGAACAATAGAGAATTCCAACTCCCAACTTACATAGTGCAAAGAAAATGATCACAATTCTTGCAATATGGTTTAGAGGGATTGTCAAAGAATGAAGAGAGAATGAAGGTTAAGGTTTAGAATTAGAATAGAGATGAAGATATCCATGTTAGTTCAAGCAAGAGGACAATTCTGTCATCTTCTTAACTTTTTTTTTTTTTTTAATAATCTTTAAATAAAGAACTAAGTAATATGATAAGTTTACCCTTAAATGGTTGCTTATTTGTATTTAACATTTAAATTTGGTAACTATTTACTTTTTCTTATTTTTATGGTCGCTGTAAAGCAATATTATTTAGATTTGGGTACTAAAATCTAATTTTCCCTTTAAAATTTGACTGCTAGAACTATAAAGCTGATTAAATTTATTCATCCTTTTCCTTGTGGTAGGTCGGTTATCAAGAGCAAGAAAGCTTGATAGAGTGCTCATGTGCTGGTGGGTTTTCACAGGCCTGACCCATATGATTCTTGAGGGTTACTTTGTTTTCTCTCCGGAATTCTACAAGGATAAGACTGCATGTTACTTGGCAGAAGTTTGTAAGTTCCCTCATTTGACCGTACAATGTGGACTGCAAACATTTTAAGCACTTCTGCAAACTTCATAATTTTGAGGTCTTTGACAGTGCTTCTGAATGAAAATTGGCAGGGAAAGAATACAGCAAAGGTGATTCGAGATATGCGGGTAGGGATTCTGGAGTTGTTTCTGTTGAAGGAATCACTGCTGTTTTAGAGGGTCCAGCCTGCCTTCTCGCAGTGTAAGTTATAATCTTGAGTTGCATTAATGTTATCCTGCCAAAGTGATAAGCTTCACATTTTTTTTTTTTTTTTTGACTTAAAATAAGTTCATGTGATTAGCTTCTCATCTCTTACACTCCTAGTCAATTCTTAACTTGCAGGTACGCTATAGCCACAAGAAAGTCGTACAGCTATGTACTTCAATTGGCCATCTCTTTGGGGCAACTTTATGGAACCGCTGTATATTTTATAACTTCTTACTTGGAAGGGGATAATTTTGCTACAAGCACGTATTACTATTATGCATACTACATTGTAGCAAATGCTTCTTGGGTTGTAATACCCACACTTATAAGCATCAGGTGCTGGAAGAAGATATGTGCAGCATTTCAGGTCCAAGACCAGAAAAAGGCCAAAATTCGCTAAGATAAAATTTAGGCTGCATTTTCTTATTTTTTGTGTCTTGATTTATGATTTTCATTCGATTTTTCCTGGAATGCATGATCCAGTGACAATAATTTTACATTTTGGAAAACAATTTATTTGACCATTTCTTTACCTTATATTTTTTAATAGAAGGATGATTAATATTATTGAGTTTAATTAGATGGAATCAGTTGCGTGCTATTGGTTCTTTGATTAGTATTATTATTATTTATTTTTTACCGTTTAAATTTGGTGATGTTTCCCCTCGCCCATACGAGGTAAAGCCCACCTTCTCTCACTTCTACTTTTGTTGTCTTTTGGCACGGTGATATGTTGGAATGCTATGAGGAATAAAAGAGTAGAAGTGGATGGCATCCTCAATCTTTGAATAAACCAAATCTGCAACCGTCAAAAAGGTAATGTTCTTGATATTTCTTGAAATTCTGGTTCCTGTTGAACCATTTCTATCTATATTACACTAGAATCCTGGTTGATGGATTTCTTGATTCAGAGATATAAAAAGAAGATATGGGTAAATTCATAAGGAAGACCATCAGGTCAGTGGCCTAGCGGGATCAAGCCCTACTTCTCAGAGAGAGGTCAAGGGTTCGAGCCACAGTGGAGACATGTGTGTAAGTACCAACTAAGAAAGAAAAAAAAATTCACAAGGGAGGGTTTTAGCGCAAGATTGATTGGTCCTTTAGCACAACATGCACATATGTAAAGAACTCATAAGAGAGGTATAGCTTTGGGAGAACTGGAGAGGAGAAGATTTTAGAGAACTAAATCACCTATGTAGAAGAAGGGGCTGAGGGATAGTAAGTTTGATTAACATGAGCAGTCCACGAGAAAATTGCAAGATTGACAAATCTATATAATTTGATCCAAATTGTGAAAGTTTGCAAGATACACTATTGCCGTACCATCCAACAGGGTCTGGCCCTCGACTCTTCTCTTTAAGTGAAGTTTAGGCTTGTTTTATGGTCTCTTTAAAGGTAAAATTTTTTCCTTTCACTGATTTTCTCATAGCCAGGAAAAGTCATAACCCCCTCGAGGGCGTGGTGTAGCATTTTGGTGACTGGGGTATCTTGGAGAGAGGGTTGTTATGGAAGGTGGAGGATGTTAGAAATTGTAACTGTTGGGTTCATAATTGGATACCAGGTTCTGTCAATTTCAAACCTTTCCAAGTTTCAATTTCTTCCACATTGCTTGGGTTTTCCAGTTAATCAACCAGCAGACAAGAAGGTGAAATGAAGGTTTGTTAGCTCGGGTTTTTTCAAGCAGAGATTACGAACATATTTGCAGATCTCTCTGAACTTTTCTAATCAGCAAGATAAGCAAGTGTGGGGATTTTCAAACTCTGGAATTTTCTTGGTTATATATTCTTATTTTGTTGCTCTACGGTGGAAGAAAGGTGAAGTTGTTACTGCAGATCAACAGCCAGAGACTAACTCAGCTATAAACAAGGACAAGTACTGGCCTAGATTATGGAATTTGCCTGTCAAACCTTAAAGTAAGACATCTTTTGGAGATGTTTGCATGATATGTGGGGGTCCTAGAGTCCTTGGGAAGGAAGGGTTTCCTTTCTGACTGTATTTGCAGAGGCTGTGATTTACAAGTGTGTGTGGAAATGTTTTCCTCTTAGGGTGGATGTTAATTCTATTGGTGGAAATTGTTGGAGTGACTGGTGGTTAAGGTTGGTTAGAAGTTGGGAGAACTCTGATAACAGAGCTGTTCTAGAAGGTTTGGCGGCTACTATGTGTTAACCTCTGGAAGTCAAGAAATGCATTTGTGTTTGGGAAAGACCAATGGACTCTGGAAAAAATCGTCTCAGTTGCAGAGGTACAACTCTGGGAATTTTATGACATTCACGATTCTTCTACGCCATTTTCTGTTGGATCGTGTGATGTCGGTTTTCCTCAGCCAAAGTGGTCTTAGCGTCCTGCGGGGGTCCTAAAGGCTAATGTGGATGCTGCAGTAAATGTCCTAAAGGCTGGTGATCTTGTTGTTAGCGATCACAATGGGTGGTTGTTGGCCGCTGCCACTTTCTTTTTCAAGCATGTTATGGACCCTTCACTTGCACAGGCTTTTGTCATGTGACAAGCCATTTTGAAGATGAGGGACTGGGGTCCGAGTGTTGTTCAATTCAAATTGGACTCCAAAAATCTGGTGGTATTTCCTTTCCTTCCAAAGGGAAAAGTAGAGGGTTCAAGTTACCATATGAGGCAAACGAGTGTACTCTTAAAAAAACCTCGGTCAAAACTTTTAAACCTCAACCCATGAAACTAGTTTATTGTTTTTTTGCAATATTGTTGCACACAGTGACTTGTATCAAACTGTTGAACCCATGTTATCAAACTTTCACTATTACACCATATGACTCCAGTGAACTGATTGAGGATCATTTGAAGAGAATATCTGTTGATTGGAACGTTTACAACACAAACTTCTATTCAATCACACGTACACGACTTGGATGATCAATCCAGGAATGATCACCAAACAGCACTTAACTTTCAAACTATCAAATGTAGTCAAGAACTTGTTGAACCATACTTACAACAAAAGATCTATTGATACAGTTTTAGTTTGTTCAGGCATGTGCTACTAGCTTATAAACAGAACCCAAAAACACACTCCTTGAAGGAGACATAAAACTATAAACACATACAAGCAGCAGCTCCAAATGACGTCCCATTAATCAGTCTTCCCTCGACTCATGTTCCAAAATTCAATTTCATGTTCAAGAACACTTAATAGAACTACCTCAGCTTTCGCGGCCACATCATCGGATGCCTTTGCTAGACGACGGTTAGCCATGCTCTGGAGAGAGCGACAATACTGACCGAAACCCTCGTTGCCCCATCTTTGACAAGTCTCCTTCAGTTCTTCAGGTGTTTTAGAGCCATCTTCCAGGCAGTGGGCAAAGCTCTCTTGATAAGCAACTTCAATGGCCCACAACGCTGTAATCGCCACTGTATATTCAACTTCCGGACTCGTTAGGCTCTCCAGAAACCTGAAACAGAGCATGCAGATCGTTCAAAGATTCAATTGTTTGTAATAGGGTGTCTCTCAAAATCAAAAATAAACAAAATTAAGAATGCCTACCTGCTGCTAGAAGGCGTTTGTTGTTCCATTGGCAGATTATACTTTTATATTATCTCAATAGTAAAATTAGTTGAGATTATTTATTCATGCACAATGTGGAAACTTAATTTTAACCTAATCTATGAGTACACTTGTAAACAACACTTGGCACCTCTTGAGGATTCCAGTAACTGCTTCTCTTCGGTTGGTTAAAACAGATATTAATTGGATATTCAATATATTGTGTCATGTTCTAAGAGCTTGAAAGGCTCAGAGTACTACGAGGAGGTGGAAGAACTAAAAGTGCATTCATTACAATTTGAAATAAAAAAAAAAAACAGATTATTTTATATGGAGTAGTCTTCAAGCAACAATTTACTGCAACTTTTGTTTTTTCTATACTTAAAATTAACATTTCTCTTTATCATAGTTGAGCATATTCTGAAAATCAGTAGTGATTCTGTTCTAGCCAAAAATTAACAACAGCACTACATTGTCATCTTAGTCGTTAGTATAAGAAACTAGGAAATGAGAACGCCGATAAAATCACAAAATATATAACAAGCACAACTCAGACAGGATTTAAGGCATTAGATGACATGGGGGGCTCAAACCTGTGGATATACTTGCAAAATCATCCGTTTTCCGAGTAAAAATGTACACATACTCTAAAATATAAACATAAATAAAAATAACAGTTTATATGGCATCACGAATCAGAAATTCAAAACATTATAAGCTATAGAACTAAAACATGTTCACAACTTAGGACTATGGTACCTGCAATATTTGACGTTTGCATTGTCAGGAACTACACTAGATAGCGCAATGCCCCACTTGGAAGCTTCTTTCTTGAACCAAGCAATCTCGTCATTCAAAGCAGCCATACCACCCAAAAGGACTTCCATATCGGAGCTATCATCCAACTCCTTACAAGCTTTCAACAAGACACTCGCTACAAAAGGTACGAATGCCCTAACAAATATATAATCCTGTCCCTGCATTTTAAAATTTTGACAGAAGTTCACTTTAAACCCTTAAAGCTGGGTTTAAATTCAATTTTTATCTGGTCTAAAGTGCAGTTACAATAGAAGTATATATATTTAAATCTACCCATATATTTATGCCAGTATTATGCTAATTATTTGTTTTGTGATTTTTAAACCTATCACTAAATTTTTTCCAAACTCTAGTAAAATCGTTAATTAATTGGTCATGTGCTTTCTAATAGTCACATTTAACAATATAAATAAAATTTATAAACAAAATATATAATTTTATGATAACAAAAATTAATAAAACTATAAACTAATTTAAGTTATAGAATAATAGAAACTGATTTCGAATAATTTGGTCTAATACTCCAATAAATTATTTAATAGAATATAAATGTATTCAAAATCTTATTACAGAGTGAGATTGTGAGATTGTAAATTGTAATAGTGGAGAAGATGAAAAAAAAAAAAATTATAATGAGAGAGGAGAAAAAATATATAAGGAGTAAAAAAAAATATAAAAAAATAAAAATCAATAGGAGTCTTAGTAAAATATAAAAAGTTTCACCAATATTTACTTAAATATATATTTAATATTTAGTGTGTATATATGTTGATGCAATGAGGGTGAGAGAGAGCCAAAAACAAAAACAAAAACAAACAAACAAACAAAAAAATTATAATAGTACGAGGATAGAAATATTTTGGGCACACTCTGTATTTGTTGAAGTTTAATAATATAAGAAAATAAAATATTTAGATAAGTTATAAAATATAAAGAAAAAAATTTTGGGGGCCCCTCAAAAAAAGATAAAAAATATAAATCTTTTAGGGCAACTGTCAAATTTCTCTATGCGTTAAAGTTTAATAATTAAAGGAAATACTAAAATTATTTTAGAAAAGTTATAATATATAAAGAAATAAAAAATTATGGGCCTTTTTATTGATTGGGGCCTTAGGCAATCGCCTAAGGCTCTAGCCGCCCCTGCATATGAAAGAAGCAAAAGAGGAATAGTACAGACTGAGGATTTCAGTTCAAAAATTACAGGATCACACCCAACCCTTGCAGCATTTGATATAAGTGTTCATATATTTTATTTTATTTTTATTTTTTTCCAGATATAAGGGTTCATATATGTTGGGAAATACTTGCAAGGATTGTGTGCTGAGTGTTTAACCAATTCAATTGACAGAAAATAAAGAGAGTGAAGGCAAGCCATAAACAAGACCAATAATTTATATGGGTGCATATAGGCAAGAGAATGGTTCACTATAAAGTATTAACTTCCATGTTCATACCCTAAAACCATCATGTACTAGCGCCACTCATCAATACTAAGCCTAGGGATTCTCCACAACTGGCAACACAACACACGCCCTCGCACATACACAATGTGTGTGTCTTAGGAAGAGGACTGCCCCCTTGAAAACCAAACACACAACAGTAAGATTACTCCATTATGATCTGGATAACATGATTTCGAGACAGAAAACAACCTCTCCACAGAAGTAAAATTGCATACTTCAAACCCTTTTCAAAATCAGCAAGACCTTCGTACTCTGAATTAGCTTTCTGTTTTTTACTCGCAAGATATATATAGCCTCTTTTATTCCTTAAAGAGCAGTGACAGAGAGTTCAAATTCACAAACAAAACCATTTTCCACAACATCCCATAAAAGAACCTTGAGAGGTGATTTTGCCAATCACCAACCTCAATAACAAAAAAACACTGATTTAATTTTATTGGTAACAAAGTTTCCTTACCAAACTATTATCCCATCAAAGTCATTTTATTTATTTATTGATAATAAAATTTCACTTATTTACCAAACAAAGAAAACTATTTTGTTGAAAATGATTTTGAACCAAGTTGTTTGTTCAAGAACTCACTCCTCTCTGAACTGAAAACTCTCCTCACCCTCTTGCATGATAAATTATGGAGTAATAAAAAACATATAATCCCACAGGCTAAATACATGTCACATAAATTTATGTTGTTAGTAGATAAATTAATTTACTGTAAGTAAAACCTTGAGTAAATAATGAAAAATTGAAAATAGGATAATAAAATTACCAGCCATCGCTTGAAGGAGGAAAGGTCAACGGTCCCATCACGGATGCTAAGGATGAAAGGGTGTCTGGTCGCTCCGTTGTAGATCAGACGGTGCTTTTTCAGCCACGACTCCGTCATACCGCTTCTGTCAAATCGTCCAACTACCTTAGTAGTTTTTTCGCCCTCCATTGTCTCCGTCTGCCTCTTCGTTACGGAATCGGTGACTCCGTCGGAGTAGAGTGATCACTGGGTCGGTGTGTGGGTACGGACGGGTTGAAGAAGCAGACGAGGATTCTTGAGTTCTGTGCCTCGTCGCTACAAACGCCCAATGTACGTGTCAAGTGTTAACAAGTGGCCACCCCCCATTGGCTTATATATATATATATATATATATATATATATAAAATAGGAAGTCACGTGTTAGTGTTTAATAAGCACGGTAAATTTCATACCTCCACTAACCTACTACTAGAATACTGTTGTCAAAGAGTAATTATTATAATTTTGAATAAAGTACTACTACACCCTCCTTAGATTCTCCTTAGATTTGATAAAAGAATATTCAGATAAAATTTATTTATTTTTTAGATAAAGACATTTCTTAAAGATTTAAAAATAACAAAGATATCCTTTTACATAAAAAATTAACCAAATTATCCTTTAACTGTTTAGGAGACTTTTTTAATTTTACAATTTAATAAATTGAACCAATCTACTTTTATGAACAATTTATATATATAAAAAAAAAAAAAAAAGTAACAAAAAAAAAATTGTTATTTACTATATAAATGTCCTAGCTTCTTAAAAATGTAGATGATTTTTTTATCCAATACATATATTTCAAATAAATTATATTTTGTTATTTCTTCTTTTCTTTTTCTTTTTTTATTTTTAAATTAAGATACTTAATTCTTTCATCTAAAAAAATTAAACTAATCTCTTTTCCTTAAAAATAAAAAATATGGTACCAGTATAACTTTATGCATCTTAAATTATATTTCAAATATTATGCATTTCCCAACATAAAAGGGACAAAAATAATAACAAAACAAAGGAGAAAAAAAAAAAAAAAAACAAAGGCATGCATAAAGTTAAGATGCATAAAGTTATATTTTCTTTTATGTTGGAAAATGCATAATATTTGATATATAATTTAAGATGCATAAAGTTATATTGGTACCAGATTTTTTATTTTTAAAGAAAAGAGATTGGTTTAATTTTTTTAGATGAAAGTTTAAACATCTTAATTTAAAAATAAAAAAGAAAAAGAAAAGAAGTAATAACAAAATATAATTTATTTGAAATATATGTATTGAATCAAAATCATCTTAGACGTCTACATTTTTAAGAAGTTGGGACATTTATAAAGTAAATATCAAAAAAAAAAAAAAAAAAAAAAAAAAAGTGAACAATATAAAGTTTTTTATTTTTATTTTTTTTTAACTTATATTTTTATATATTATAGACAGTGTAATAGCCAGGGCGGAGGGATGGGCATTTAAAAAAAAGATAGTTTATATATAGTCTAAAGGAAAATGATTTAATTAATAACTATAGAATCTTGATAAAAATTGACTCCTATAAAAATTTAATGTAACTATCTTAAAATTGGATTTGGATCGTCTAAGTTAAAATTCCTTTAAGTTATAATTGAATTTTCTACAGAATGACATATGTCATTTAAGATATATCTTTGGCTTATGTTAAATTACTTCAGCTAATTTAATAAAAGTTAGGAAACTGCACCGTTTTAAGATAAATAAAAAATCTTTAAAATACCTTAACCATTTATACTTCAATTTAAATCTAAATCTGAATCGGCATAAAAATACATATAGTTTACAAAATTCATCTAATCAGACACTGTATACTATTAAATTGAAAATCTACTATCCAAGTTTTTTTTAATCAAAATCACCTTCTTCATCCAAGTCAATACTATTATTTCAGAAAAGAGAGAGAGGGAGCAATCTTTTTTGGAGAAAAGAGGAGAGATTTTATAGGAGAGAGAAATGTTTACATCTTCGTAAAGCTTTCTACCTTAAAACGATTCAGTTTTCTAAATTTCATTAAATTAGTTGATGTGGTTTAATATAGGTCGTAGATATATTTTAATGGTTGTACACACAAAATTCATAGTTTGCAAATAAAGAACAAAATAGGGAGCAAATAGAATTTTATTAATTTATAAAAATTTCAGTACAATCCTCTGAGATATTCTTTACAAAAGAAAGAAAATATCATCCGATTCGATTTCCTTTATTGGTTGGATTCAAGGGTTGTTGGAGCTTGATCTTAAATCAGGTTGTTGATAATCTTCTTCAAGTATTTGTAGTTGAAGAAGATCATCAATGATTTCTAATCGAGGGCTGATGAAGCTTGATCTCAAACAGTATTGTATGGTGGTTCATCAAACTTGTTGAATCACGGAGAACGGCACGATTTTGATATGCTTATTGTTTTTTGTTGAATTTGAGGAAGAACAACACGACTTTAGATGTGTTTGTTGTTCTTTACCTTCAGAGAGAATTTGTTGAATTTGATGAAGAACGGCACAGCTTTGGTTATGCTTTTTGTTGATTACTGTGGAATTTTGATGAAGAACGGCACGATTTGATGTGCATGTTGCTCTTCGCCTTCAGGTTTGAGTGTTGGGGATGAATGTCAACAGAGTTTCTGTATTTCTCTCTAGAATTCTAGATTTCTAGAATTCTCAATTTCTGTCCCTTTGGATTTCTGCCTTTTGGATTTCTGAGTTTCTCAATTTCTGGACCTCTTTAGATTTCCGAGTCTCTAAATTTCTGAACCCCTTTGGATTTATGAGTTTCTCAATTTCTGAACCCCCTCTCTCCTTCCTCCATGCCTCTATTTATATACTTCTTGGATTAATAAGATGATGACATGTGTCCTCTCCTAATAAGGACAAAATTATATCTAGGCCAGGCCAGTTAAATTATGATAATTAACCTTAAAAATAATTATTCCAAATATATTTTATTAGGAATAATTATCTTTTCATTTAATCATCTAGGCTGGGCTAATTAAATAATTTAAGTGGACCAAGCTTAAGCCAATTAAATAACTTAATTAAACATTAGACCCATATTTGATGGGTCAATTTGTCAAAACCAAAGTCCATTAAAATTTTAGTGTCTACAAATTGCCCCCACTTCGAGTCCTACGTTTGACAAGACTTATCTCATTTTTCAAGTGGGACTTGAAGTATTCAACTTGGCCTTTGAATTTGTAAAGTTTCCTTTTTCACTTTTCTTTCCAACTTTGGATTGTAAGATTTTCTTTCCAATTTGAATTGAATTATACAAATCCTAGTACAAATAGGAGGTATTTTGAAATCCCTTTTCAATTTGAATTTAATTATACAAATCCCAGTACAATTTGAATTGAATTATACAAATCCTAATACAAATAAGAGATATTTTGTTACTTATATATACCACAAATGTTATAGGGTTTGACATCAATTCCAATAACCTCGGAAGACTTGTTAGATTGCAGCCTCTGAAGACTTGTTAGTTTGTAACCTCGACTTGGCTCGAGCAAATAATAGGTATTTATTCATTTTTTACGTCTTTTTCTGTTTTGTCTTTTCTGATTTTCGTCTTTTTATGCTTTGTCTTTTTATGTTTCGTTTTTTCTGATTTTCGTATTTTTTTACTTTGTCTTTTTTTTTTTTTTTTTTTTTTTTTTTTTTTTTTTTTTTTTTTTTAAGGATTCTGCAAAGCATAAGATTTAGTCCTTCTCACAAATAACACCGATTGAGTTTCAAACTTTGTTTGTTGTTCCATCATAGTGGTATTCAAGTGTTTTACAAAGCAAAAGATGACTATTTTAGTGAGCGAAAGTAGTCGAAGAGGCCAAGGAACCACATTAAATGTATCTAACTCACTTCTTGGTTGCAATACCATTCAAATACCTGATCTTGACAATGAACATTGTTCATCTCATTGGACACGCATTCAAATGCTTGATCCTAACAATGAACATTATTTTTCTCATTGGACACGCAAGGCTACATGTGAACTCACCAATTTTGGTCTTGATCAGATTAATGAAGAATCCATTGGACTTGATATTAAGTTTTCAGCTTCATTGGACATGCAAAGCCATTTCTTCTTTTTAGGAATACGTCAAGTATAATTTTTTTCTTCAACGATAGCTCAACGGAAAGCTAAAGATCTTTTTCATCAACACCTCGGCGTGAATAGAATTTTTTTCTTGAACGATAGCACAACAAAAATCCAAAGATCTCTTTCCTTTGCAATGACATTTTGCTGACGGATCAAATTTCCCTTTGCAGCTGCAATTCTAGTGACGAACTAAAATTATTGTCTGCAACTACACTTTGGCGGTGAGCAGAATTTTTCTTGGCAGCTACAATCTGGCGACGAACCAATTTATTTCTTCGCAACTACATTTTGCCGGATCAAAATTTCCTTTATAGCTACAACTATGGCGACGGACCAAAATTCTTCTTTGCAGTTTCACTTTGGTGACAAACCAAGTTGACAGGTGCGACGAGCACTTTTGATATCGCATGATGAGTGACAACATCTTGATAGTGAGCCAAGTTGAAAATTTGTGACGAGCGACAATAATATCTTGACAATAAACCAAGTTGATTAATTGCGACTAGTCATTTTGATATCTCGTGATGAACACACTTTGCCATTTTGCAACTCTAAGGAGTATTTTTTATTTTATTATTATTTTTTTTTTGGTGGACTGAACTTGGAACAAGCCTCCAAGATGCCTAAGTACGCTGAACAGGGATCAAGTCATCACGTAGTTCAATTTTTTTTTTTTTGAAAAAGTTTATACTCGTATCAAAGAGTTCTTGATTTTTTGTTCTTTCCAGGTAGGTAGTTTAAACTCGTATCAAGGAGTGTCAGTTTTTTTGGGAGATAGTTTAAACTCGTATTAAGGAATTCTTGATTTTTTTTTCTTTTTTCAAGTAGATAGGTTAAACTCATGTCAAGGAGTGTCATCGACAGTTTAGGCTCGTATCTAGAAGTACTTCAATTTTAATTATTCTTCAACTTTGCAAGAATCAGACGACAATCCAAACTTATGCTGAAGGGCACGGACTATCTCATCGTCACTTTGATGATTTTCTTCTTGGTTTCTTTGACTTAATGCCCCCTGTGATTTAACACTTTCGATTGAAGTCATTGTTGTAACATGGTGCGTTTCTTGATGCAAGTCTTTCGAGATGATACTTATAATGAAAGATGAAGCTACTTCATCATTCGAGTTAGGAAGTATATTGTCTTCTTCTTCGGACTCACTTCTTTCATCTTCTTGAAGGTTGTCGGGTATATCAGGAACATCT